TAAATCTCTCGGATGCTTGCTTGATGAGATACATCCTAGTAGACATCTAGCGTATATCGCATCTTCTTCTTTTATTTCATCTTCTTGATCTATTTAGTCATCGATATAGCGAAAATTCATTTTTCTAGTCGGTTATTCACAAAGGATGACTTATCTTGGTGTAAAGCTCAGAATTTTTCTTCTTAATACCGTCAGGAAGAACCAAAGTGTTTTTTTTCTCATTCCTATGAGACACACAAGCAACTCTTTGGAGAATATTCTAGCCCGTTTTGTATTGACGGCTTTTCAGATAGGTAGAAAGCTATCGCAACCGCTTCTGAAAACTAATGGTTTTTTAATGTTTTTAATTAATGGGTTTTTTAATTTTTAAAAGATGACAGTTTAAATGGTGCAGAAATCTTACAAACTGATTTGAAACCGCTTTCATTTGTAAACTATCTTAAATTTTATTTATCAAAAGCAGAAAATAACGAGATTTTTCTGTCAAGAATGAACCGAAAAGTAATTAAATCAAGTCAACTTATAATTCTACATGTTATAAAAACTCAGTTGATCTCTCAGGTAATTATTCATATGTATATGAGGAAATAAATAACGTGAATCGCATCGATTCACTAAGTCGATTGCCTATAAGTCGAATGAATGTGTTGTCGGGAATATTACTCACTCTGTTCTAACTCGATCTTCTTACTACAGAATTGAGCGCTATCTTTTACGATAAGCGTCCGTATTTTTCGACTTAGTTTTCAGAAGCGGTTGTGATAGCTTTTCATCGGTCTGAAAGCCGTCAATACAAAACGGGCTAGAATATTCTCCAAAGAGTTGCTTGTGTGTCTCATAGGAATGAGAAAAAACTCACTTTCGTTTTTCATGACGGTATTCAGATTGCAGGGTTTTTCTTAAAACTCAATCATCTTGTCTCTCGTGTAGAATTTTCTTATTTTAGATGACAACTATAAAAAGCTCGAATACAACACCAAAAATATTTTATGTTGTTTAAAAGTGATAGGCATTTGTAATTATATATTTCACAGTAGGATCAGTATATTTAAAATTCCTGCAACATTTCAAATCCTTTATCAACTTCTAGTTGTGTCTTCTTTAATACATCCATAAATTTTTTTACTGAATTATCATCGTGGGACAAAGCTTTACCAATGCCTTTCATCTGTGAATAATCTTTAGACAATTTTATTAACTGCACTTGTATTTGTTCTAAACATTTCATTGCTTTGTCGTACACCTCTTGTTTTCTTTCAAGTGCAGATGCAATAGTGATTGCTGATATTTCACCGATTTTTGAAACACCAATCAAGCCTATCAGCGTCAGCAACACAGCTGGTATCATCCGAGCACCAGCAAGGCCAATGCATTCAACAACGAGTAGAGTACCACTCAGAAGTACATACAGATCTAAAAAATATAAATTCGTAGTGTCTACAGTGGATCTGATAAAAAATTCCTTCCATTTTTCATATCATTTTCAATGGTACGCCACCTTTCGCTTAATTTCTTGTTGTGGCTTATTTTTGTTGACATCACTGTCTTCAGTTGTCGAAATTTCGCGATCAGTTGTTTTATTTCTCCACAGAGTTCTGCAATTTTTCCAACATCAACTGCTTCTACTAAACTACTTTTATCTTTCACTGCACGTGGAACAAGTAGTAATGTACTTGATAGAAACTCCTGTGCGGTCATGAGAAGCTCTAGATAATCACCGTGTATTTCGTTTACTAATTTTTGACCATCTTTATCCAAGAGTGGCATCACTTCTTCCACTGCTCCTATAAATTGTGCACATGTTTGTGACGTTGACACTCCGATATGATCAACTGCTTGCGATATTTGTTGAATAATATTTGGTGGTTGATATATCAAGTTTGATTCTTCGATTGTGAGTGCCATTTTAAGTTGAAGTTGTATTTCTCTAACCGGAGAACAGAATATGTTGCTGGTGTATCCACGAAGTACACTTGAGGGATAGCATTTAAAAATAATATAAGCATCCGAATTAGACATGCACCGAGTCCGAATATTCGGATTGGACCGGATTCGAATTCGATTAGATTCAGATTCTACTCAATCGGGATCGGATTTAGTTAGATTCAGGTTCGACTAGCTTCGGATTCGAGATTTGAAAGATTCGTCACTCTGGACGTTCCATCAATTTCTTTTTTACTCTTTTATTTAACTTTTTACATTCTGCAAAAAAGTTCAGCTGCTATATACCCAAGGTGGAAAAAGCGCGACTGATGAGCTTCAGATGATTTTGTACTTCTTAGTTATTTGCACAGTGGATGTTTCATTCAGATTGTCTTGAGCTTGTACAATTTCTTAGAATCCCTTAACCCTGATCAGTCCACCTGGGGTTCGTGCGGGCCCCAGACGAAAATGACTGCTTTGAAGATATGTCTTGCTGCTCTGTCAGATAAATAATGAGTGGATGTAATCAGTTCATATTGATAGTGCACCCTATTCTCATTCAGTGGAATATAAAGTGAAGCGGTAAAATCAGACCGTTGTGTTCAGACAGTATCCAAATGAAACCGGTAGAATTTGGGCATATTATATGTGGTCGGATCAGGGTTAAAATGCGCTGTTTCTCTCATATCTTCTGCTGCGCATTCAGATATTGCGATTTGACGTTTGGTGGTAGAGACACGATAAATCTCGGAACGGGATACTCAAAATACTCTGCTTTTTACTTTACAACATTTGAACGATTAGGATTCTGAATTCCAGAAATTCAGGAAAACTAAAATCTGAGCTGGTATCCTGTAGACATCTGTACTTTTCATCCTCTGGCTACTAAGACCGTGTATAGTGTATTTCTGGGACTCTCATTAATTTTTCTTAAACAGCATGATCGTTTTAATTACCAATACAGAAAAACTGGAACTTCACTTGATGTCGTCTTCCTTAGTTCTCGTTCAAATTACACTGACGAAGTAAAGAATTTATTGCTCTACTATTGCCTAAAGAGTGTGTTGGACCTACCGTTTTATACTTATTCAAACTCCAGTGTCTGATATTGTTCGATGATAGTGTAGTAAACAAGAATGTTCTGTCTTCAGTTACCATGTATATATAACTCCGTGTGTGTCGATACAAAACGGACTAGAATATTCTCCAAAGAGTTGCTTGTGTGTCTCATAGGAATGAGAAAAAAAACACTTTGGTTCTTCATGACGGTATTCAGATTGCACGGTTTTTCTCAACACTCAATCATCTTTTCTCTCGTGTAGAACTTTCTTATTTTCCTTTAGATGACACTTTAAACCTTTACATTTGATCAGATAAGAAAAGTGGAAGTCCGAAAGAAATGAAAAGTAAGAAATAAGTAAGAAGTAAGAAGAAGATGATGGTACTTTTTATTATGTTGCGAGCCGCCGAAATGGCGATAATGAAACAAAATTTGACCCGAAAACTGAAGAGAGTAATCACTTGCAAAGCTCATCTCATCAAAGTCTAAGCGGTACAAGTCTAAAAGCCACTCTCGACAGATCCCAAGAACCTCGCAAGCATAAACATATTTCTGAAGTCGAAACAATGCTTCCGCGCTCGCAGCCATGATAGATGTAAACACACTTCTCTGATTCCACAGAAAATCTGCACATATGTACCTATGTGGATCGATGTCTATGCCAGTCATTAGTGATTCTGTGTATGTACGTGGGTCACACTCCCTAGTCACTATATGTAGTGTTTCGTACATTTTCTTCCGTAGAAGCATCGAAAATGCCAAACGCAATCATCTATATTTCGCTTTAGTATTGATTTTCTGATGTTTTTCGGAGATTGGAAAAAACCCACTGTTGACAGTCAACAAAGTCCTCCATTCTCCATTTGCTTATTGAAGTTTCTCTGCGCAAATTAAAACCGCTACTCAAGTGTGCCTTGTGCACACGCATCGCTTTTTCCGCGTATATATATTTATGCCATTTATTTGTCATATATGCATCTATGCGTCATATAAATAGTATTAATATAGTTATAAAGGATCACCAAGAAACGTGAGATAAGAAGGAGGGATTCAATTTTTCTATTGCAACTTTTGAATCATCCTTTCTTATCTCGCGTTTCTTGGTGAATAGAGCACTTTGTTGACTGTCAAAAGTGGGTTTTTTCCAACCTCGGAAAAACATCAGAAAATCAATACTAAAGCGAAATATAGATGATTGTGTTTTGGCATTTTCGAAAATGAAAGCGGTTTCAAATCAATTTGTAAGGTTTCTGCACCATTTAAACTGCCATCCTTTGAAAATTAAAAAACCCATTAATTAAATCTGTCACGAAACAACTGAAGGGTGCGATCTCATCATTCGGTTACGAGAGAGACGCTTTTTGCTTTCGCTTGTTATGCCACGTGTTAATACTAGAGATCTGCATGTGCAAGATTTTTTTTGCCCGTGGCTGTCCGTAAAGGTTTTTCGCTGCCCCTGCATATGGTAGTCCATATATTAAAAAACGTTTCTGGTCCACGCGAGTATTTTATGTTGTCTGACCGGTTGTCTAAAATTGCTCTTGCTCGTGAGACAATTGGTCCGTGTTATCAGTTATGCCGAGCTGTTCGAATTTATCTATTTATATATTTATTTATTGATTTGTCATTGAGACTGGTTACTCGTTCTTGAAACTGCTTGATATGAATCAACAAGACACAATTAGACAATCTGGGTTCGATAATAGAAAGATAATTCAAATATCGAACAAGAATGTTCGACGTTTATTCCAAACTGATTAAAAATCAGATATTACTTCAGTCGCTCGATTTTAAAGAGAAGAGAAATTTTCTGGTGGTCAATTTGATGCAAAATATAGCATTCATTTTCATCTCTTATACTTGTACCCACCTGTTTTGTTTCCATTTTTTGGGCATTAGAAATCCCATCTGGAAAATTTAAACATGGCCTATTTCGTGGAGAACTGTTTGCTCTACAAAATGGCATAATCAAATTGCTGGTGTATTTTGAAGTGCCTGCAAAAAATTGGAAGATATCTCAAAAAACTCACATTTTCAAAAATGCGACTTTTCTGATGTTATTGATTTGAGAGCTCAGCTATGACCTGTTTTTCAGGCCCAAGTAAATTTTCTAATACAATCTTTGGTGCTGTTCCCAACGGACTGTTGCTCGAAAAGAGCGGATACAAATTGACTGAGTTATACTTGAAATATCAAAAATTACGCTCTGTTGCAGTTTTTCATAC